TTTAATCCATCAGTTGAGCATTTTCTGACGCTTCAGCATTTCTAATCTAGGCTGAAGCTCTTGAGAGACTGGCAGGTAATAATGATGCCTTCATACCACTCATTCTCCAAAACTCAGATTGCCTGACATACTGATTTCCCTTGAGTGCCCAGGTAGCATCAGTCCCATAATAACTTCCAGACAGTAATTCTGGTGGGCAGCAATAAGGAAAGCAAAGGGCTTCTCTCCCTTTTCCCATGATAGCTGGTCCCTCTAGAATCAAATAGTTGGGCCTTTAATGTAGAGCAGAATTTCTCACCCTAAGCACTGTTGACATTTTCGGCTGGAGAACTCTATGCTGTAAGGGCTGTTCTGCGCATTGTAGGATATTTAGCAGCATCCCTGGCTTCTTCCCACTAGATATGACTAGCACCACCCCTCGATATCAAAAATGTCTCCAGACCATACCAGATGCCTTCAGGGTGACAGTTTAGGGCCAGTTGAGGACCATAGATGTCAAAGGCTTTCTTGAACAGATTGTGCCAACACCAGAAAGTGATACTGGTGGAAGATGACGTGGTAATTTTCTATCCTTGGCGAAAGCATAAGGGCAATTCCTCATGGATGGATGAATGGCTAGTCAAGAGTTTCTCCCCAGTGAGAGCCAGTCACCAAGACAAAAATCTCAGTGTGCTCTTTAGCTTCCCCCTTTATCTCTCATCTCATCCCAATCCATCCCTCTGAATAAGCATTCCAACTTGTAAATGCTTCCTCTGCCTTTTTGTATTGATGATGCTAAAATGCTAACTTAAGGTCCCAGAGTCTAAAATTAAGAAACCAACATTTCTTATGGATCTGCCATGTGTCGGCCACCCTGCTAATGTGCACATAATCTCACATAATACTCTCAGCCACCCTTAAAGAAGTTTTCTGTACCTGTCTCGCCTGTGAGGAGTTGGGAACACAAATTCACACCGCTAAGCGGTAGAGTTTGGAAAATAGTAAGCAGGTCTTCCAGTGTTGTTAAAAGAATATTTTTACCCCATTGTTTGCATATATCCGATATCTACTTAGAAAGTCATCACTATCTGTTTGAAAATTTAACCGGTATCTACTTGAAACTCTGGAGCTCCTGGCTTGTGAATAAGAATTGTGTTTGGAAAAACGTATATGCAAGGTCCCAGAGCCATAGAACAGTGGAGAAAATAGGACTCTTACACATCATTAGACAGTGACCACTTCGAGGTCATTCTGTTATTCAACAAATATGAGTTGAGGGCTTACTCCATGCCTGGACCTCTGTACACCAGTCAAGACAGACAGGGTCCCTGCCCTTATGGAACTTATATTCTAATAGGGTAGACATCCAGCATACAAGTAAACAAATGAATAAATAATTACAGACTATGATACATGCTGTGAAGGAAATGAGCAGTGAGAGGAGGAGATGGAGAGTAATTGGGTGAGGGGCAGCTTCTTTACATAGGGTGGTCAGGGAAGTTGTCTTTGACTTTGACATCTCCCACAGCATACTGTACTTCCTCAAAAGTGTTAGTGCTTCTTCTTGATCACCTGGCACAGTGTAGATGCTCCTAAACCTTGACTGTATGAAAAGATTATGATGTTTTTCCTTGGTAGCCTCAGAGCCTAAAAACCTCTAGTAAGTGTATTAGTTACTTCTTGCTGCTGTAACAAATTACCACAAACTTAGTAACTTAAAACAGCACAGATTGTTATCTTACAGTTCTGAAGGTCAGACATCCTCAAGGTGTCAGTAAGACTGTGTTCCTTCTAGAGGCTCTAGGGGAGAATCTGCTTTCTTGCCTTTTCTATCTTCTAGATTCCTTGTCCTCTATTTTCAAAGCCAGCAGCATAGCATCTTCCAGTGTCTCTCTCTCTCTCATTCTGACCTTCCTGCCTCTCTTGTAATTACATTGGCCTACTCATATAATCCTGGATAATCTCCCCATTTTAAGATCCTTGACTTAATCAAATCGATGAAGTCCCTTTTCCCATATAAGGTAACACATTCACACGTTCCAGGGATTAGGTCACCTTTGGCGTCCGGACTCAGCCTATCACAGGAAGCAATAAATGTTCATTTTGTTCCCATGCCTGTTTTATTTTACAAATGAAAAACTTGCCGTTAAATGAATTGCCCAAAATCACACACTTGGATACAGCTTTAGATCCTGGTCACCCCGTCTAAGTACATTATCATTATTCTCTCTATATCTATATTCTCTCTATATCTAGACTCTGTTCTTTATAGCACTCAGCACACTTCACATTTCTTTGATTATTTGCTTTGTTATTACCAGAAGGGCAGGAAGACACACCACTTATTCACCAAGTTACAGTCACTGCACAGCTCGGTGCCTGACACATAGTGTGAACACCTCTAAAATTTTTTTAGGTGAAAGAATGAATACTCTTTTGTATGCTTGGGTAAATAGAACTCAAATTCCTATAAATGATACTGGTCAGCAGCTTCTCATAGGTTAAAAATCCTTAGCTGTTTTTAAAGCATCAAAGAAAAAAATGAACTTCAATGTTGGCATATAATTTGAGTCAATAAAGAAGGGGCCCCAAAAGCAAAAATAAACAACTGGGACCTAATTTAACTTAAAAGCTTTTGCACAGCAAGGGAAACCATAAACAAAACAAGAAGACAACCTATGGACTGAGAGAAAATATTTGCAAACAATGCGACTGACAAGGGCTTAATTTCCAAAATACACAAACAACTTATACAGCTCAGTATCAAAAAACAAAACAACCCAATCAAAAAATGGGCAGAATACCTAAATAGACATTACTCCAAAGAAGACATACAGATGGCCAACAGGCACATGAAAATGTGCTCAACATCACTAATTATTAGAGAAATGCAAATCAAAACTACAGTGAGGTATCACACCAGTCAGAATGGCCATCATCAAAAAGTCTACAAATAGGGCTTCCCTGGTGGTGCAGTGGTTGAGAGTCCGCCTGCCGATGCAGGGGACACGGGTTCGTGCCCCGGTCCGGGAAGATCCCACATGCTGCGGAGCGGCTAGGCCCATGAGCCATGGCCGCTGAGCCTGCATGTCTGGAGCCTGTGCTCGCAACAGGAGAGGCCACAACAGTGAGAGGCCCACGTACTGCAAAAAAAAAAAAAAGTCTACAAATAATAAATGCTGGAGAAGGTGTGGAGAGAAGGGAACCCTCCTACACTGTTGGTGGGAATGTAAATTGGTGCAGCCGCTATGGAGAATAGAATGGAGTTTTCCTTAAAAAAGTAAAAATGATTCTGCAGTGCCAATCCTGGGCATACATCCGGAGAAAACTCTAATTCAAAAAGATACATGCACCCCAATGTTCATAGTAGCACTGTTTACAATAGCCAAGACATGGAAGCAACCTAAATGTCTATTGACAGATGAATGGATAAAGAAGATGTGATACATATATACAATGGAATATTACTCAGCCATAAAAAAGAATGAAATAATGCCATTTGCAGCAACATGGATGGACCTAGAGATTATGATACTAAGTGAAGTCAGAGAGAGAAAGCCAAATATCATATTTAACTTATATGTGGAATCTAAAATATGATACAACTGAACATATTTACAAAACAGAAATAGACTCACAGACATAGAAAACAAACATACAGTCACCAAAGGCGAAAGAGGGGGAAGGATAAATTGTGAATTTGGGATTAACAGGTATACACTACTATATATAAAAATAGATAAACAACAGGGACCTGCTGTATAACATAGGGAACTATATTCAGTATCTTGTAATAACCTATAATGGAAAAGAATCTGAAAAAGAATATATACATAAATGTACATTCTTCCTGAACACCTGAAACATTGTAAATCAACTGTACTTCAATAAAAAATAACGAAGGAACCCATACCTGGCATTACATTTTCCCATCCACTAGTGTTGAACTTTACTATCTGGTGTACTGCAACACTGTGTGCATTTGAGTGTGGTATCCTGTATTTACGACTCCATATACAGTATCTGTTGACATATTAGCATCAAGAGTCTTTTGGGAGAGTTCCTGAGTAGCTCAATTCGTAATTCCAATTCATGATTAGAGGAAGAAGAAAGGCAAAAAACCTAACTGCATGCTTTATTAGTGCATCAGCTTTTCTCTGTTAGGCCTTAAAGAAGTAACAAAGGGGAAATAAAATCACAGTTCTTACTGAACTATGCAAGTAGCACATTTACAGGTTCACTTAGCAAGTTGTATGGCATTTAAATAAAAACAAAAAATTTTAAAAATATAGGTCATCTCCAACACAAAATGAGTTCTTAGAAGTCTTAAAGAACCTTATGCTAAACAACTATATGAAGGAAAGCTAAACAAACACAACGCCTCCTGTTATCATGGAAGACAAGTTATATTTACACTATGAAGATACTTTGCTTCACGTTGTCCATCTTGCCTAATGAAGACACTGTTTGGTCAAACATGTTTTACATCTGACATCCGTTTCTCTTAGGAAATAAAATACCTGTCATTCAAGGGGTTATTGAAACAAAAAATATGAAGCCAAAGGGGGATGTCTTTACTTTTTTTTTAAAGTGTCTTAATTTTTTTTTAATTAATTTTTATTTTTGGCTGTGTTGGGTCTTCATTGCTGTGCACGGGCTTTCTCTAGTTGTGGCGAGCGGGGGCTACTCTTTGTTGCAGTGCGCAGGCTTTTCATTGTGGTGGCTTCTCTTATTGCAGAGCACGGGCTCTAGGCATGCGGACTTCAGTAGCTGTGGCATGCAGCCTCAGTAGTTGTGACGCGCGGGCTCTAGAGTGCAGGCTCTGTAGTTGTGGCACGTGGGCTTAGTTGCTCCACGGCATATGGGATCTTCCCGGACCAAGGCTCAAACCCCTGTCCCTTGCATTGGCAGGCGGATTCTTAACTGCTGCACCACCAGCAAAGTCCGGAGATGTCTTTACTTTTAGTATTGCTTTTAAGATCCCAGATTCTTACCCCGACTTGTATTTACTTTGATTCTAGTGGCCAAGGATGTCAATATTCTTTTTGATGAATTGGAAGCTGTCAACAGTCCTTGCAAAGATGACGATTCTCTCCTTCACCCTGGAAACCTGACCAGTACTTCAGATGATGCTAGCAGATTGGAAGCAGGGGGAGAGGTAAGTGTGTGCGATTTCTTAAAAACACAACTCTTGATCCAGGCAGGAACCTGACAAGCATAATCCAGTAGATTGTTTAAAGTCATCATCTCATTGAACTGTGGGTTCCTGAGGGAAAAAAACGACCAGGTCTTGTAATCCTGTGATGTCCTCTAGGAGTCTAAGCACATTTCAGGGATCTGAAATCTACTTACTCTCAAAACAAACTTTCAGTGGGTCATACACCTTATACCCAAAGGCATTTTGTTTTTATAGAGAAGATTCTTAAAACCACCCATCATTTTAAAATGATCTACGTTCTGGGTGTCGCTAACTAGTAAAAAGCTAGCTTTACAAGGATGTTGAAATCTTGTAAAATTGAAATGAAATCAATTTCTGTTGAAATCTCCCAGCATGTAGAACAGTGACACAGAGTGGACCAGACCTCAGTAGGTGTTGGGTTGTCTGAAGCCTCTCTGAGTTTCCATTTGCCTCTGTAATCTGGGAACTCATTGCAATTGTAAATAGACCCATCTGTTCATGTGTCATTTTGGGGGGAAAAATAAGTATTTTGTTAAAGGCATTCACTGTTGCTCAGCTGTGTCTCAGTGGAGTTTAATATCTCCTTTGTATATGCACTAGGTTTAGGTGATAGGAGCACAGATCAGAGTCAACTAATTTATTGTGTATTCTTAACATTCTTTAAGAATACACAACTAATTTATTGTGTATTCTTAACGTTTTTATTATTCCAGAGGCTGTTAACTAGTGAAAGGATAACACCTTTGACCAGGGAAAATTGTTTACTTCTACCAAGCTTCCCAGTCCTCTCTATAAATACCATATGCTACTTATCTATGTGTGGGGTTTTTTTGTTTGTTTTTGTTTTTTGTAAGAAAAAACTCATTCTATCATCACCTTTTCACACAGAAACTTTGGATGCCATAATGTGGCACAAAGGAAGGACCTTGAAAGGCACCTCAAAAAGCAGCTAGTGTAATCCCCTTAATTTTTAGATGATGAAACAGTCTCAGGTAGGTTAGGGCTTTGCTAACCCTCCTCTTGAAGCCTTGGCTGGTTTTGCAGATCGATGCTAATGTGTTAAATCTCGAGGATAGTTCCCTTCCCTGGCAGATGATTGTTAAGAAAGTGTTTATTTGGGTAGACGTCTGAGTACTTCTTAAGGCAGAAGCCAAAAATCGTCAGTGAGGATTGGTCATCAATTATAAATACCTACACCAGCTATGAGACGTGTTATTTCCATCACTCCTGACTGAGATTTTCGTTTTGGATGAGGTTGCATGCGTGTCACTTGTGCGTGAGTATGGATTCTAGCAGTGGCCTTGGAGGTCTGGCTTGTGTTCCTTCTTCGTACTACTATTTGGAAACTGACGTGTACTGTGTCCTCCAGTTTTTTGGGTGTTTATGCATACGGTTGACCCTTGAATGACGTAGGTTTGAACTGTGCGGGTCCGCCTATACGTGGAAGTTTTTCCATAGTAGACACTACATTACTACGTGGTATGTGGTTGGTTGAATCCGTGACGCTGAGGAACTGTGGATATGGAGGCCCCACTATGACTATAAGTTACAAGTGGATTTAACCCCGTTGTTGTTCACAACTGTATACACAAATATCACACGAAAAATAATTTTCTTATTGTGGGAAAAAAATTTGAGAAATCCTGAACTAAAGTGTTACTAAAACCATCAAACCACTTGTGGTCTCATCCTTCTCTCCTCCTGGATGGACTGTCTTCCTGAATTTTTGTGTTTTTTATTCTCTTGCTCTAAAAATGGTTTTACCATGCATACATAAGTAGCCTTAACAACTTATTTTACATTGATTTTATTTTGTGCTTTATAAAAAATGGTATCATGCAGTATAAAGTCTTTTGTGACTTGCTTTTTTCTGTCAATATTGTTCTTAAGATTTTTGCTTACTATTAGATGCATCAGTAGTTCGTTTTCACTGCTGTATAATATTCCACTGTATCACTGTTCTACAGTCTATTTATCTATTTGCCTCTTCATTGATTTGCACTGATTCCTATGTTTAAATTTTTTTCTCTTATGAATCATGCTGCTGTGAACATTCATATACATGTTTCCTAGCTGCTTTACCAGGAATTTCTGTAGGGATATATGTTATGTAAATGTTCAGTTTCACAAGATGATGCTAGTGTGTTTTCCAGAGTAAATATATCAATTTTCACTCTCACCTGTAGAATGTGAGAATTCTCAGTTGCTCCACATCCTTGCCAACATTTGGTATTGTTAGGTGACTTAAGTTTTGCCCATTTGACTGCTTTTTCCAATTTTTATTTTGTTTCCTCTTGTTTACATTTTTCATTAATAAAAGTGTAATTTTGATAAAACACAAGGAAATGCATTTAGTTTTAATCGTTCTTTAATATTACTCACCCAAGGCTCAATTTTGAGTGTCTTAAACTGGTCCCTTTCTCTTTGTGTGCAGACAGTACCAGAAAAAAACAAATCAAATGGACTTTACTTCAGAGATGGAAAGTGTAGAATTGACTACATTCTTGTGTACAGAAAATCCAACCCCCAGATGGAAAAGAGAGAGATATTTGAAAGAAATATTAGAGCAGAAGGATTACAAATGGAGAAAGAGGTAAATAGTTTGCTTGGATGAGAAAAAATATAAATATACATCTATTCATATTGGGAGACAATTAAAAAATAAGCAGTTAGTCATTATGTTAACTGAATGTTTCATTGGCTGAGGGTTTGCCAATCTGCAGTGTGTGGAGAACGTTCTAGCAATTAGATTTTCGCAGCACAGTTTGCCTTTGAGAGCTTTTTAATGCCAAAAGATTCCGTAAAAATCAAAATATTCAAATTAAATGGATTGTTTCAAAGTGTTATAATTTACCTGATTTCCTACATCTACTGCTTCTCGATGTTAATGGCGGGTTCTATTTGCATGGATTAAAGAAAACTTCGGATAAAAAGCAATCACCCCACCATAGAGGCTCTTTTTACATTTCAGGAAACATGATGGGTTTGGGTATCCTCACACACAAGCAGAAGACACTGGCTGATTGGGCCAAAAACAGCTGGGACTTACAGAGTGATTCTGTTTTTAAAAGACATTCAGGTTGTTTTTATCAAGTTCCCAAACTCAAGGATTACCTTATCAGTGTTTACTCTTCCCCTTTTCTCCTCTGCAGGGGAAGTTTGAGGATGGTACAAGAGGCCCAGCCTTTGATAATAATCCACAATGGGATTATTGTGTACCCAGAAACGCTGTGCGCATTTCTAGAACTTGGCCTTGTTGGCTAGATTATGTAACTCTTCTCAGATTTTCCCTGAACACTGTGCACAGCTTCTGGAGCTTTTCATAGTTCAGAAGAACATGTTGCCAATTAAAAGGGTTTGCTTCTGATTCTGCTTTTCAAGGCTAAAGGATAGATCTTTGAAGTCAGACATCCATGTTTTTCTTTATACGGTGAAGGTTGCATGCTAATCTTGGTACACTTTAGATAAATAGGATGTTTCCAGGTCTGTTAGACTAGCCTCCACTCTGGAGCATTTATAAAACAGAAGTGATATTTTTCTGGAAGTCTCCAAAAAGAGAATTAGAAAAACAGTGAGATGAGTATAGCCTTAAGGGAACAGGTTCTCATTCTCAGGAAAGTGGAAGCAGATAGCTCAAAAGACTGCTTCAGCTGGAGTTTCCCCCAGAGCAACAATGGAGTTAAATATGTTGTTTTTTCCACTTTTGTGGGGTTCCAGAAAATCTTTCCTATACCCGCTGAACATGCCTTTGATAAATCTTGTTCTTTAAGTTTCTATTGAGACAGTGGTGTATTCTTATCTTAACATTGATAGTGCATTAATATTTTATCCCTAAAAATCTTTTCTTCATCTTTTATTCTAAGTTTCAGAATTTTTATGTAAAGAAATAAAAGATCTGTATTGCGACATGATCTGAAATAACGAAAGTCCTTCGTGTGATTCATTCTGACTCTGTCAGAGTTTTGATTCCCATCAAAACTAGGTAACTTGCTTCAGTTAATGAAAGATTTATATTTGGAGCTTCATAACTATTCTCTCCACTCCTGGGGCTTCTTCTGTGTAGGTCTTTTCAATGTCATTTTGTGGCTTACAAGTTAAAACTCAAAAAGCCTAATACTTTTCCAAAAAAAATACATTACTAAAGAAATGACACATCTCCTGTATGTCTCCTAAAAATCATCTGTACTATAGTATTCAGCTGCCAGGATTAGAGCAGGTAGCTGAGGACGGTTATTCTGTCTTTTAGTGTGCAGTTGGTTCTGTGTAGTCCAGGGTTGACCATAGCATGTTAGATGTTCAGCTCATATGATTTTAGTGGTATACAAGATAATTTTGTTTGGTTCTAATTTAAAACAAATTTTAATACCTAGGTATTTATTTTAATGTTTACTGGAAAAAATAGCAGTTGGGAAAAGGGCAATATCACCATATGGCAAAACTTCATAAAAACTTATCTAAGCATCTCTTTCTCTCCCTTCCCCCCAAAAGTTCCTCTCTTGGTGGCAGCTTCCCTACAGTCCTCTATCCACTACCAACAGCTTGGTTTTCTGGAAACTTCTTCCTAAGCAGCTTTTCCCTGTGGCCCAAACTCTGCATAAGCAGCACAGTTTGACTCTAACTCTGTCTCTGAGCTCTGCTTTGCGTCCTCACAGCCACAGCCAGTTCAGCAAGAAGCGGGGGATCTCTGCACATCCTTCCTTGCTTAGAGGCAGCAGGAAATTATAGCTAAATTAATTTTCCCTGTCACAACTAATTAAAATAAAATGTCCCTTGTATGAACAGTAAATCTGTATCTCCATTGTATAATTAGATTTAAAACCCATCGGAAGCACTCTTATTTAAATCTAGTGTTTTCATAAATAGTTTCAGTAGAAAGACAGCAATTTTAATAGCTATTTCAGCTTCCAGAAGTTACTTCCACCTTTTATACATAAAACAAAGCACATAGTTCAAGGTGGAAAAGAAGAAAGAAAACCCAGGGGGCTTCCTGTGAATCCACACGTACCTGATGTATAATCAGTATCGTCTTCATTACCTGTGTGTCATGATGTCCAACAGTTACAGAAAATGTGTCACAGACTTAGAAGCTTTTGTTTCCAAATCAGTAAAGACAGGCTCTGTAGTTGAACAGTTTAATAGAAAGAGAATCTTTATCTCTTTTAACATTGAAAGTCAAGAAACACAGCCAGGAAGATCTTTAATTCATGATAAAAGTGAGGATGTAGTCAAATTTCATCTTTCGTGGAAACTGTGCCCCCCACCTGATTAGTCAGCAGGTAAGTGCTTGTTTTAGCGCCCTGGGTCTTTAATATTCTGTAACTCATCTTTCATATAAGCCCAGAGAAAGCAATTCACAGCAAAGTTCCCAAAGAAAGTATCAAATCCAAGTGATTTTCTTCTTAAGTGTCTGTCTGTTTAAAGAGATTCCCTTCTTTAAAGGTAAATTCATATTTATAAATTCACATTTTGATGAATTTGTAAATAAAAAATAATTTTTTTTCATTTTTAATTTTATGTCCTATTTGGTACCTATTTTTAAATCATTATCAATAAGAGGTTTATATCTTCCTTCATATGAAGGGTCAGGTCATGGATGACTTTGGGATTATTTGGGGTGTATGAGTACCAGTTAGATTAATGGAGCACCCTTCCTCTTGAGAATCACACAGAGCACGGGTGGAAACTCATATCATCAGTTGTTTACCAAATAACTGTATTTATATAAATTGTACCATCTTGATGGTAGTTAACTTCATTCAACACATATTTATTACACACTTACTCTCTGCCAGGCACTGCCTTAAGCACTAAGAACTCAGCAGTGAATAAAAAAGACAAAAAATTCCTGCTGGGCTTCCCTGGTGGCGCAGTGGTTGAGAGTCCGCCTGCCGATGCAGGGGACACCGGGTTCGTGCCCCGGTCCGGGAAGATCCCACATGCCGCGGAGCGGCTGGGCCCGTGAGCCATGGCCACTGAGCCTGCACGTCCGGAGCCTGTGCTCCGCAATGGGAGAGGCCGCAACAGTGAGAGGCCCACGTACCACAAAAAAAAAAAAAAAAAAAAAATTCCTGCCCTGTGGGAAATTAAGAACAAACTAAATGAGGAAATCTGTGTTGCAGAACAATAAATGCTAAGGAGAAAAAAGTAAAGCAGGAAGTGTCGAGAAGGGCTTGCAATTTTATGAAAGTTGGTAAAGGCGGGCCTCTTTCCCAGGGAACAAGAATAGCATGTGCAAAGGCCCTGAGTCAGGAGCATGCCTGGTGTGTTTGTGGAACAGTAAAGAGGCCAGTATGACAGGAGTTGACTGAGCAGAGTAGAGAATAGTGAGAAATTATATCAGAGAGGCAACAGAAGCCAGATGACATCAGGTCTTATTGGTCACTGGGCAACTTTAGTTTTTCTCTGCATGACATGGGAAATCACCAGACAGTTTTGAGCCAAGGCATGATAAGATCTGGTTTCTGTTTTATTAGGGTCATTGGGGTTTCCTGGTGATAGTAGACTGTGGGAAGTGGGGAGGTGGTGAGGGCAGAATCAGAGAGGTCAGTTAGGAGATTTGTCACAAGAATCCAAGCGCACAGCAGAGGAGATGCTGAGAAGAGTAGGAAGTAGAGCCGATGGGAACTGAAGACAGATTGAATGAGTGATGTGAAGGAGTCACAGGCCATTCATCTGTCATACACTGTTCATTTAAAGAGTTGGAAGAGGGACTTCCCTGGTGGTCCAGTGGTTACAAACCCGCCCTTCCAGTGCAGGGGGCGTGACTTGGATCCCTGATCGGGGAACTAAGATCCCACATGCTGCATGACACGGCCAAAACCAGAAAAATAAAGAGTTGGAAGAACTGCCATTTACAGCGCAGCAGAGGGAAGTGGGTTCCCTTGTAGACGTGTTGAGTTTGAGGTGTCCCGGTGGTGGAGATGTTGAGTAGGAGGGAAGGGTCTGGAAGACAGGCAGAGATCTGGGCTGGAAAACCTAGAGGGTGTGGTGCCTGGAGGGAAGTGTTTCAGGAGGGAAGGAGCAGTTGTGTCAGATGCTGCTGCTGGACGGGGTGAGTAAGATGAAGACTGAAAGTTAGTCACTGAATTTAGCGATGTGGAGGGCTCTGGGGAGCTGGGCAAGAGAAGTTTCCACGGAGAGGTGGAAGTGAATTCATGACTAAATGTGTTCAAGAATTGGGGGAGAAAATGTGGAGACAGCAGACAGAAATAGCTTTTTCACGGAGTTTCACTGTCAAGGAAAAGAGAGAAATGGAGTGATAACTGGTGTAAGACTTTGGGTCAAGAAAGCGTTCTTTTTATTTAAGATGGGAGAAATAACTGCATGATTTCATGCTAATAGAAATAATTTGAGAGGCAAACTTGATGTTGGGGAAAAGTGAGGGAAGAATTTTTGGAGCAGCGTCCTCAAAGCAGTAAAAAAAAGAACGGCCGCGAGTTCCTCCCATGCAGGGACCCACCTGCCTGCATCTATGTCCACAAATGCAGCCGTGCCCCTGCTGCTGAGGGTGTTCTGACTGTGCTCCTAGCTTAAGCCAACCCTTTGCTTTGGACATAACACCCCATCCTCTCAGTCCTACTCAAGGACATTGCC